AGAAAATTGAGAAGTACCGTAATCATCGTCAATGATGGATTCTTTGAATTTTATATGAATCCCATTATATCTAAAAAGTCGTAATGAAAACTCACTTCGTAATTATATTTTTCTTTGACCCGCTAATAAAAGCACTACTTCCCAATGTTTTATGTAATATACACAAATCATTTTTGTGTACCTCAATTTGTGGCTGCAAAAGAACATAGAACATCAATCTTGCTCATTCAGTCCGAACTCTTCCAAAATTGAAACCCAGACATGGAACTTTCTCCACCCTCCCCCTTCTTTCCTTTGGCTCTCCTTCTCCTTTCTGCTCTCAATCTCTTGTGGCGATGGCTAAACCAACCCGAAAACCTTCCCCCAAGTCCACCTACCATCCCCATCATCGGCCACCTCCACCTCTTGAAATTCCCCCTCCACCACACCCTCCATGCCCTCTCCCAAACCTATGGCCCCATCTTCTCTCTCCGCTTCGGCTCCCGCCGGGTGGTCGTCGTCTCATCAGAAGAAGCCGCCAAGGAGTGCTTCACCACAAATGACATCGTGCTTGCCAACTGCCCAGCCGGTCTCATCAGCAAGCACCTTGGCTACAACTGCACCACCGTCATCTCCTCTTCATCAATAATTTCTATTGACTTAGTCTCTTCTTTGTCTTGTTCTTCAAGTTCCTTGTGTGTGGCTTGTCTTGTCCCTCTAGAATTCTCAAGAACACCCCAATAATTGGCTAGAGACAACTTAGAAGATAAGATCTTTACTAATGATTAGCCTCCAATTATTGACCTAAGGTTGACTTGGTCTACTTGGCTTCTTATTTCCCAAGTTTGGGCGTGTGATACTTGTTCTTGCCCTTCAAGAACACTCAATAATTCACTAAAGATAACTAATTTATGACTCACCTTTTTCATTAAGCACATCATCCAAAACTTATTATGATACTAGCAGAGGTGAGCTAAGTAAATGAAAATTTTATGTATCTAAAAACGATTGACCATTCTATTTGGACCGAGGTTTGATGTAGAAATATGTCCAAGCATGATCGGACATAATCAAGCCAAAGTCCGGGTTGAATGGCGCGAGGTCAGACCAGCCGGACTGACCAGGCGTATGGCCAATTCGGTCGGGCCTGACCGAGCACAAGGCCTGGCACATGGCCGGGCCACACGAGCACGGCGTTGGGCATAGAGCCAGGTCGCACAAGCAATGGGCCGAACGGACGGTACAAGGCCGGCTCCATGGGCACAATGCCGAGCCAAACGGTCGATGTGCCGAGTGCATGGCTGAGCCACATGAGCGAGGGGCCAGCACACAGGCCAATACTTGCGTTGGCACACGGCTAGGTCTGGGTCGGAACTGATGGGCACATGGCCTGGCACAAGCGCCAGGCACGGTGACTAGCACACGGCCATGCACGGGACCAGCTCATGGCCTGACTGACGGGCTCATGGCTGGTCCATGGCCGGGCACAAGGCCTGGCTTGCACGGCTAGCACAAAAACTAATCTGCGACCAAGCTTCAAGACTCTTGGCCTGACACATGGCCTATTCATGGCCTACCCAACTCAACGCAACGATCCATGGCCGATTCGCGACCGGTCCACATTTGAGCATCAATGATCCATGGTCGACCCTCGGTTGTCATATAGTCGCGTTGAATCGAACATGATGGGATTGGTCCATGGTTGCTCGCGATCGGTGCATGGCCGAGCGGAACCACCCGCGACTGACTCATGTCCGCACGGCATCAATCCATGGTTGTTCGGGATCGTTTCACTGTCAACCCTTGTGGTCGAGTGATCGATCCATGGTCGAATCGCTCTAATCAACTTGAGTGATTGGGGAGTTGTTTTATGGCTAATCACTTGGCCGATCCTTCGATTACCCATTCCGACCATACCTACTGATCCATGACCGACCCTCGGTTCGGTCCGCACATCAATTCCTTGGCCATTTTCTGTTGGTCGATTCAGGGTCCAAATCGCGGATGTCACAATTTCACTGTTGATCCCTTGGCCTATCCATGGATGATTCTTCGATCAAACCATGACCAATCCTTTAGTTACTCGTTCCGATCATACCATCCCATTCATGACCGACTCTCAGATTGATCCGCTCGCCAATTCCACAGCCATTTTTCCTTAGTCGTCTCGGTCCAAACTGGGGATGTTACTCGAGCAATCGATCCATGGTTAAATCACTCTAATCTTGCGTGATTGGGGAGTCATTTCACTGTTGATCCCTTGGCCGATCCATGGATGATCCTTCGATCGAACCATGATCGATCTTTTAAATACCTATTCCGACCATACCAGCCGATCTATGACCGACCCTCGGATCGATTCGCTCGCCAATTCCATGGCCACTTTCCTTTGGTCGACTCGGTCCAAATTGGAGATGTCACATACATCATTACATCTCATTAATTTCAAGATGAATCACACCTCAAGTGGCCCAATATGAAGAAGAAAAATGTTCATCTAAGGCTTAGGTATGCCACACCATCTTATTAGGCTTGCCACCTTTTCTTGTTAGTTTAGCCAACTCATCCATTAGGGTTGCCACTTCAAGGATTCCTATTAGTCCAAATGGAAGGGTAATGACGAGAGGTTTGCCTATAAATAAAGGCATCAATCCTTCATGCTCACCTTTCACCACTCACTTTCCTCTTCCTTTCTCCCTCATGCCCTCACTCTCTCGGCCGTCCTCTCTTCTCTCGGCCGCACCCTTACTCGCGCCCGTGCCCGTGCCGCGCTGTGCCGCTTAGCTCACCATCGGTCACAACCTTGGAGGGTAGTAAGTAAACCTACTAAACTTTGGCTAGGGCATTGCGTTACGTTATTGGGCGAGTCATGTTCTTGTTGTGCTTGTGTGAATTCCGTTGTTTGTGAATGCTTGATATAGCTTGCCACGCATGTATATGCATTTGTAAGATTTGCTCATGCATTTGGCATTATGCGTGAAAGCACGTCCAGGCTATGAACGAGTCTCGCTTGGTTCGGATCGGCGTCGAGGTGTGTCGGAAGGAGCCTTGTTTGGAGGATCGGTATTGAGGCATACCGATTGAAGCCTTGCTTGGTGTAGGTCGGCGCCATGACCAGGTGGTTCGAATCACGAACTCGGTTCCGTGCCTAGCATGACGTAAGATTCTATAAGTTATATTACATGACACACACTTCGCGTGAGGTACTCATGGTGTCATGATGCTTATTGGCATGGTCACACAAGGGAAACTATAGTTGTCGCCCTTGATTGGGGGACGTTGCCCGGAGAATTTCCGGAAGAACCGTACCAACGGTTGAGATAATGAATCCCTTGTGTGCATACTTTTGGTGGTAATGTTATTGTTTGGAAAAAAAAGAAGGCAAGTTGAGATCATCTCATGCACAAGGACAAGTGTGTTTGAAGCATATTTGCTATTGATATGTCATCAACATTGATGTGACTATGTGCATGTGTTTTGTTCGACGGCGAGGCATCCTCCTATCCGAAATTTAGTGAGTTTACTTACTGAGTTGTGACTCACTCCTTATTTTTACATACTTGTAGGTATGGCGACGCTGCCTCCAATTCGTCATAGACTTCTCGTTGACATGCATATGTCTATAGTTGATATTGTAGACGTAGAAGCGGATACCACATACCGTAGGTAATAGTGGTGCAAGAGGATGCTGACAACGTGGTTTCCCACCGTTACGAGGCTTGGTTCATATGGTTCGATGAAGATTTAGTCAGCCCTATCCGTGATTTCGACGGACCGCTAGGATTCACACCCGACGAAAATGTGGTGGATCCCTAGGTTGCTAGCCTAGTCAAGGGGGAAACCGTTTTTGATAGTATAGCCTGCTAGAGGAGTTAGCTTGTAAAATATGAAGTGGTGACGTATGAAAATAGTAATGTGTTTGTGAATTGATTGTTCTTCCTGGCTGCTTATTGTTGTTATTGTCTGGGTGTTGATTGAATGTACGCTTCCGCATGTTCTTAAAGAAAGATAAAAGATTTGGGACGGCGACGACCCTGGGACATCGCGAAATAATTTTCCTCCGAGGTTAGGGCCAGAGTGAAGGTCCTGATACATTTCACGCTTTTATTTGAAACGAAGTCCACTTCAGACCCTTATTTGAAAAGATGAGGGCATGTTAAGCCTTTATTTGTAATTTTCCCTTTGGATTTTAGTATTTTTGGAATGATAATATATTTTTTTCTTTCACCTACAATTTTATGCATTTCCCCGTAGACTTTTCTCGAAAGTCTTACCAAACGTAGCCTTTCTGAAAAGAGTGTAAGAATAAGTATTGTTTCAAATAAGGGCCAAAGTGACCAAACTAGTCTCGAATAAGGGTCCGAGCTCGTTGGCCCGCCAAATATTTGCCGGCCGGCACTTCTGACAACTAAAACGGAGACAATTTCATCCTAAATTTACAAGTGGATAAAAAAAATGAAGAAAGTCCCCAAAATGGAATCAAGATTAGTCTATTCCTTCAATGTTTTCGATTTTCTTGTTCCTTTCCCGCTAAGACCTGAGCAGGTCGTTAAAAGGTTCAAGAGAAAATAGGGGAAGGAACTCCTCGACATGGAAGAGGGATTTCCCCGTAAGTTCTCTCCCGGAAAGAAAAATAACGGGAGGAAACTTAGGGGCTTCTAGGTGGGGAAAGTTGACTCCACGTTAGTTTCGATTGGCTACCACCAAGTAGGCAGGTATAATAGCCTCCCACGTCTGAGGTGACACAAACAAGGGAGCTTTGGCTCCTGCTTGGTTGGCCTGTGTTTCGCACAACGTTTTTATGAACAACTTGCCGACCAAGTACCCCGGGTTATAAAGACACTGTGCGAAGCAAATCGCTGCCCGCTCCTCCAAGTATATGGGGTTCTCCAAGGGGGGGGGGGAGGTGAGCCGCAAATGGGCCCGAGTACTTGGGCCGAGTATTGGGCCGAGGTGAGCCGGAAGGCCAAAATCCGTAACTCGGCGACCCTGTTTTTGAGCGCCGAGTGGTATTCCCATCTCCACTTTTTTCACCGCGTTTCATTTCGCGAGTTCGATAGAGAGAGAGAAAGAGAAGCTTGAGGAGGAGTAACACACGAAGCTACAATGGCGGCGGCGACGGCGAGGTTTGGTCTGCTCAAGTACCTGCGGGTCCCGGTGGCCGCCAAGCCTTCCCTCCTCCGCTCCTCCGACAACCCATTCCTCCCCTTCGGCCTCGCCGCCGCCCTCCGCCGCTTCTCCGACGAGGTCCGGGGCTCCTTCCTCGACAAGTCCGAGGTCTCCGATCGCGTCGTCACCGTCGTCAAGAACTTCCAGAAAGTCGACCCCTCCAAGGTTTCTTCCCTTCCTTTTGCTCCCCTTTCCTCTCCTCCTCCTCCTTCTCATTGTTGTATTGTTGCTGCTGGGAGGTCGAAACGCGACGTGGGCTAGCGATTGTTTAGTCACCTGGGGTCGCTCGCCGGAGGGTTTCGTTTTCGATCGTGCTTCCCTTGAATGGAGACGCGCGTTCGTTCTCCGGATGGGTTTGTGTGCATTGGCCTCGGCGGAAATGCGCCGAGGTGGTGCTGGTTTTGCTGATCGCAGGGTTAGGGCAAATTTGATAGCGGGGACTTGTGTATGTGGGGCTCTGCGGTTGAGATAGGAAAAACCCATTACAGCTAAGGTTTTGGGTTTCTTAAGGGTCACACTATTTCGTGCCAAACTATTGCTAAAGAATCGAACTTTGCGTAACTTGATGGGCTAGCCAATAGAAAGAATTGCAATCGCATTTCTCCAATCGTCATGAAGGATTTTGTGTGTTGTAATTGGGACTTGTCGATTGGGTCTCATGGTTGATATCCTGTGATGAGCTTGTAGCAGGATTGCTCACCTGTTTTGTGGTTTTGCTGTGAAGAAAATATGAATTGCTTTTGGAAAAAAAAAAATAGTCTCGAAGGATGGGTAACATCCTGGCTGTTTGAACAAATATCAGCTTCATTGATTTCCTGCGCTGCATCACTGGGGATGGGCGTGCTTTTCACTTGGCTTTTGCCTATGCATCATATAAAGCCACATATTATGAGAGGTGGTCAGTTGCCCTTTTCCTTCCTGACTCCACACTAATGGGTACCTTAATGAGTGTTATATAGTGTTACATGGTGCCGATGAGTGTTATAGGAAATTTATTCATGTGCACTGTTATTGTCATCTCTCCACCGGGCTATTATTTTGGTCTCAAGTCTCTTAATTGATTGGTGTTAATGAGATTCAGCTAATTTGAAGAGGTACCTGAGATAATGGATTTTGAGTTGTTCTCACTTCTCCTTTTGACATTATGTACATTTCAGTTGTTATGCTCATGTGCCTACAGGTAGTGTAGGTTCGCATTGCTCCATGTGTTGCCTTATATCATTTTCGAAGTGCAAGGTCTTGAATAAATTGTGACGTTTTCCGTTGACTTGCCTTGATACCTGCAAGACTTGTTGTTGACATAGTGCAGCAGAGCTTTTAGCGAGCCTCTAAAGAGGCTCGTGGTATGTAATAGCTATTCTTGTTGAAAATTGGTATAGTATAATAGCATTATGGACCCCATGTGCTTGCTATTGGCTCTTTTATGCAATATTGTGTAGTAGTCCTGCCTAGATCATGTGCTGCAATCAGCACTTTCTGGAATGAGTCCAATTTTTAACAAATTTCATGTTTGTGCTTTTTTGGTGCAACCGCATGGCTGGAATATTTGAGCAAGGTAACAACTAGTTCTAAGCTGATTCTCTTTTCCTAGGTTACGCCGAATGCACATTTCCAGAATGATCTTGGATTGGATAGTTTGGACACCGTGGAGATAGTTATGGCTCTTGAGGAGGAGTTTGGATTCGAGATTCCAGATAATGAAGCAGACAAGATAAGCTCGATAGATCTTGCTGTCGACTTCATCGCTTCGCATCCGCAGGCGAAATAGGAGAAGCATTGAAAGCCCATGTTCTTTCCTTTTCACCTGAAGGATCGGCAATGCATTGAGTTCTCATAAGTGGCACATTGGCACATTTTAGAATCTTTTTTTGTTAGCGTTCTTCCCTCCAATGGATGTGTTTCTTTATTTGTACCAAACTACCATGGCTACTCCGGAGTTGGGTGGTAGCTGCAGTTACAGGCCCCTAAAGAGTCCTTGACACTATTTTGAAGTGTATCCAGAATGAGTTTTTGGTTGCATTAAAGTGGAGCTTCTTATTTTGATAAGTCCAGCATTTGGAGACTGATGTCTTAGAGGAAATCTTGCATGTGCAGTAGTATGTGACATGACCTGAATTTTATCATATATGCACGTAATGGGCTGTGACTTGACTTCTCTGTCTTTTGAGGGTTCCTCGAGTGGTACCACCAAGCTAGTTGTCGAGAGAAAGTACGAGACTCGTTCGCTTTTTATTGCTCTGTTGGGGATTTTGTGATGAATGGTTGAATGCTCCTTGTTTTTTGTCCTTGAGGAAATTAGGTGATATACTCTTTAGCGAATAAGATCACTTTTTTGACTCCTAGCGATTAAAATGTCGCACGTTACTTGGTTACGGGATTTATATGAACCTCATATATTGGTTTTAAATTTTTAGGTTAGATTCTCTAACAAGCATTTCACATTATAATATTCTCCGAGGCCCTTTGGTTAGAATCAAACGGTGGAAACAGTGTGAGAACGTGTCGAAGAAAAACATACAGAGTCTTAAATTTTCTCCTGATCTAGTTCCATGAATTTGAGTCCTTGGTATAAAAAATAAAAAATAAATAAAATGAGACTCATTAAACACCTTATTTGTCTTTATAAATTATTCAACATGAGCCAAAAAGTTCTATATGGGCAAAACCTACAAAAAATCATAAATTATGTCTACTATGATTTATTTATCCTAAGCCTTTTTTATGTGATATCAAAAATCCTAAACTTGTACCTGTATGACACATTTATCCTTCGTCAAAGTTCTATCAATGAGAACCATTAAAATCTGCCCACATAGACATTAGAAAATAAACAGCATTGACATTGTGCTCACGTGGCTTATGTGAAATAAAAAGACGTTTTTGCTGAAAAATTATTTAACTGAGACCTTGACGGAGGGTAAATGTGTCACATAGATACAAATTTGTGATTTTTTATATCACAAGAAAAAGTTTAGGGTAAATGTGTTACAGTGAGCATAATTGCGGTTTTTTATGTCACAAAAAAAGTATTTGATAAATGTGTTATAGAAAGCATATTTTGAGGTCTTTGTGGCTTTTTTTATTTTTTTAAATCAGATCTAATCTAGTCTAATATTAATAAGTAAAGTCAACTCCATAAAAATCCGTGGAGTGCAATTGTAGCTACCACACTGGTTCATCCTGCTTCTGATTTTTCAAGAAACTACTATTGGCGGGAAAATGGACATTGATGGAGATATAAGTAAAAGTGATTGAAAAGACATTGTATTCGGCAACTTATATAGTTTATTGTGTACATGATTCTGATACCATATTAGAAAAGTCCAATCCAAAATTTTAACCAGATATGTGGAGAGAGATCGTATGTACATAAAAAGCAGATAAACCCCATAAACAAGTCATGTGTGATACTTTAAAATTTTTTATGAACATGTAAAGGTGTATTTAAGTGCTTTGATGCTAAGCTTCAATTTGATTCTATTGCCACAAACTTTTCTTTATATTATCAATGTAGTCTTATTTTCCGGTCATTATTTTTGGATTATATTATCTATTTGAAATATTTTAGGAACAAAACCAAACCCGTGCGCTCATTTTGTTTGCCAAAACCAAAAGCAGGGAGCCTCAGGTTCTTCGATCCAGATGATCTCTCTCCATCTGAGTCTTCTTCAACCTCATTCAAACTCCATTAAAGCTCTAGCTCGTGCTTGCTCCATTTACTCGAAATGCTGAACTTATTTACGATCTCTCCGCCACTTTCCTTAAGGATAGATGCGCGGGAAGTATGTTTCGCACGCCGGGTGAAATCGAACCTTCGGCCCGATGTCACGGCTGGCTATTCTAGCGTTCTCTACTTGTGCGAATTCAAAAATATTTGGGAAAAATTATAAAAAAAAAAGTCCTAAACCTATTGTATTTGTGCCAATTCGGTCTTAAACCTTTTAATTTAGCCAATTTAGTTATAAACCTTTTGACAATTTGTTAATGTAGTCTTATAACTTTCAATTGTACCAATTTAGTCCTAAACCTATTGATGAATTATTGATGTAGTCCTTTCGATCAATTTTGGCTGGAAATTGCTGATGTGACAGTCTAGTTAGCAGCGGTCGTCCTACATGGCGTGACCGGCGTCGACGTGGATAATTTTTTTTCTTGTCTCTTATTTTTCTTTGTTCTTCACCGGCCATTGGGCGAGGGCCGCAAAACCCTCATCGGTCGCGGGCGAGAGTTGTGGCCCTCGTTGGATCTGGTGAGGGCTTGCGATGCCCTCATGGTGGCCAACAAGGGCGTTGCGAGCCCTCGCCCAAAACCTCATGGGCCATAGCGAGGGCTTGAGAGCCCTTGCCTATGGACTAGCGGCCTGGCTGGCCTTGTGAAGAAAAACGAAAAAGAAAGAAAAAATAAAAATCAATAAAAAATTAATAAAAAGTTCAATTTCTTTTTAAAAAAACCCACTTTAGCGCCGGCCATGCCACTTAGGACGATTGGCGCTGATTGGAGTGCCATGTCAGCGATTTCCGGCCAAAATTAGCCGGAAGGATTACATTGGTAATTCATTAAAAAGGTTTATGACCAAATTGGCAAATTACAAAAAGGTTTAGGACTAAATTGACACAATTGAAAGGTTTAAGACTAAATTGGTAAATAGTCACAAGGTTTAGGATTAAATTGGCCAAATTGAAATGTTTAGAACTGAATTGGCATAAATACAATAGGTTTAGGACTTTTTTGGTAATTTTCCTAGAACAGTTGTGTTGCTCAATTGTCTTGGATGACGCAAACAAGGGGCAAAGAACCCCATCTATACACGAGTCATTCTCTTTATTACTGTAGATTTACAATCCGATCTAGCGGTAAAGATTAATGGGAAGTCTTGATAATACAAGTCCCTTGAATACTCAGGAGTACCTATGCGTATATTTCCCATATTGGCTCCAAGAATATTTTAAAATACTCAAGAAGGCTTAGGTCCTTAGAAGTTTTAAAGCTCACCTGGTCATCTTGGGTACTTCATCTCCATTGTGTCTTGGAAACCTCTAGATCGTGACACCAAGGACATTGATCGATCCTAACAAATTTTTCTAGTTGTTACCAAATTAGTAAAGTAAACCCCATTGATAAAGTGAACAAGAGAGAGAGGTTTTCAAGCAATGTTGGACAAGTAAAAAATAAGAGAAGAAATTTTTTGAAATACTTTTCTACAGTAATCATCCACATATTTCAAAAGATTCATATAAGTCGAGAAGGGATAAAAGCTAGTTTTACACTGCAGGGCAATGCATCGAATATGGTGTCTTTTAGACTATGAACATCTAGAAAAATGAAATATCACTTACAGAACCAATGGTGAAGCTTATAGATATGAACCAAGGATTCTTATTGCAAGCTGGAGTCCTTACTAATCACATTACACCCATACAACTTCTGTCATTAAATGCGAGTCTGGGCTAATAGGCCGTGCACGTGCCTGGTCATTCATAAGTGCTCTAGAGATTCAACCCCGAATCTCATAGGAGGGGCCCCACCCCCACATTCATGTAGGTGATTTCATCAAGCGTACACTGCAAATAAATATCACCCATTAGGGATATGAAATTCATTAAGAACTTGACTCATCCTCGCTTAATATGTAGTTTAACAATCGCATACACCATAGGAGCGATTCTAACACATTTTGGTTCTAAATCATAAAATGACTTGTTATCACGCATACAAGCCTACTTCATGCGATCTCCATTTACATAAGTTGGATTACCACTATTGTTGGTATTTCAACTTGGCAAAAGTCTCATTCCCCCTCAATGTTTCAACTACTTTAGTTAGAGGATCGACCAAATTCACTTTTGAATTCACATAATTGATCGATCGATGCAATCCATATTTCAACTGCTGCTTTAAGATCTTATGTTTCAATCGAATGTGTCTTCTCTTGTCATTGAACGCTTTATTTTTAGCAGGCTGTTGCTGCTTTGCAATCACAATGCTTAGACATAGATGATGTCAATTTCATGCCCAAAGGACGAGATTGATGGAGGAAAGAAACAGAGTCGAGCACATTGAGATCTCGATGTCCGTGGACGCATCCAGATCTGGACTGCCATGAAAAGCTTAATGACTATGAATGACGACTCTGCAGAGTTGATGATGAGCTATTCGGGTAGATCCGAAGGCGGCGCCGCCGATGGAGGTCTGGTGGACGGTGGCGGAGAGGGTGACGGAGGCAGACCTGTTGGTAAAGGTGAGAGAGGGTGAGGGAGGAGGTAGAGGTGCTGATTGTTGGGGGAGAGGAAACTGTTTACTGTTTAGCATTTTAGGGTTCATTTTCTATTTATGTTTAATGTGTTTCGGTTCGGTTAACCGAACCGTCAAGATGCCCTTTCTTTTTGACTTATTACCCGAACCGAATGAGACCTGACTTGAAATTTTCGGGTCGGTTTGGTTCCGCTAGTTCTAGTATTTTCGAGACCCCTACATCGACTTATCACATGACATCGCGTCATCTTGTCGACAGTGTATACTCTATATATAAATAAAAAAAAAAAAAAAAAAAAAAAAAAACAATAGGCCAAGCAGTAGTTTGAAAATGGTTCAAGCAAAACCATATAGGATGACCAGCTGGTCTATGCCCCAAACGCGAAGCAACATGGTCGTCGGCAATGTATCTAGAAGATGACGACCTTATATTACTTCAATTGACGCGGTAGTAGTCATCGAATCTTCATCTGTTTGCCCGATGAGAACTTCATTGACTTTGACTCGACTAGCTAAATCCAGTAGCAGAAGATTAAGGTCTCGTCGATGCGTGTTTCAGAGAATGCTTGGCTCTCGTGTTGTGGAATCAATGGAGTCCATGCAGCTCGCATCAAGATTCGTCTTCTTCCTCTTCCTCTTCCTCGTTTCCTTTATCTGGGTAATCCCTGACATGGCCCTGGCTCAAGCTACTACAGATCCACTTGAAGGTTCTCTCTCTCTCTCTTTCTCAGTCACTCGTGACATATTTACCTTCGTTAGCTCCTGCCAAATTTTACCGTGAAATTACTACACATGGTAATTACTCAATTGACATGCCAAGTCCACGTGGCAATCCATATCATTTTGGGAAAAATTTATCACAAGTGTACCAATTTAATATTTTTGGCCCAAAAATTAGTTTAAGGTAAATTTGTCACAAGTGTATTAGTAGTTCGGGATAATTTATCACAGAAATACTAGTTTGTGATTTTTCGTGGTATTAACCCTTATTTGTATGTGGGGCTAATTTGTTAAAAAAAAACTCACAACTTTATGTCCAATCCTAATTTCACCAAGAACTTTTTTTTGTCTAACAAAAGATTCCCAGCTTTCACTCTAGTCCCAAATCTGATCACACGTCCAAAAATCGCCACTGGTTTCTTCAAGATTATTGACATCATGAGGCTATTATTGTTCCATATGAAGGTGAGGGCATTGATGAAAACACGAGTTTTGATAATAAATCTCTAACTGGTTCTGATGTTGATAATTTTGAAGAAACTAGTCGCGATTTTTTTGTGTGGGCAAATTTGGGACTAGATCGAAAGCTAAGAATTTTTATAAGACAAGAAATTGTTTGGAACAGAATTGAGATTATACCTAAAGTTATGATTTTTTTAGGAAATTGGGCCTTCGGATGTGTAATTTTTTAGATAGACTTATTTGGGAGCGATTAGTGTGCGATGGAGAGTTGTATATTGAGTTGGTGGAACATACGACCAGTTTGGCTTAGTATTGAACTCCATTTGCCTTCGTATGGTTCCTGCGGAAATCCTAATCATAATTTTGCTTTGTGCTTGTTAATTAATTACACAGTACAAGCTTTGAACCGTATATTCCGACATTGGAACCTGGTCGCGCCGCCGAACGAGTGGAACTTCAGCGGAGAACCATGCAGTGGCGTCGCCCTCTCCCCAGCCAGCATCGACGACTCCGGCTACCAGCCGTACATCAGATGCAATTGTTCTTATGACAACGGTTCCGTCTGTCATATCACTCAACTGTGAGTACCAATGGCTCGCTCGCGCTTGTTTAGTAACTAAGTACGCTAATGCAGTATGCATGGAAATGTTTGTTACGCGGATTTAATTCGATGGTTCGAATGCAACATAACAGCATTCTAATACAAGTCTCGATTTGTCATAGAATCTGAAACACTAAAATGGTGTCGTTTTGCAGGAGGATCTACGCGCTGAACGTTGTGGGTTCGATTCCGAGGGAGATATGGAGCCTGAGTTGCCTCACATATCTGTGGGATCCCTGTTTCGCTTCCTTTTTCCTAAATTTTTTGTTATCTAGGTTTCGTTTGCTCGGGAGAAAATGAATGATGTGGAAAACATTTTTCAAAAATCGATTGCTTGTATCGCTTGAAATAATTAATCAATGGAAAATGTTTTCATTATTGACAACAACTTATGTCTAAACATTTTTATGGACAATGAAAATATTTTTTGTTCATTTATTTTTGTAAGCGATAAGAATAATCGTTTTAAATAAAATATTTTCATAATCATTAATTTTCCGCGAAACAAACGGAACCTTAGTCGCATGGTCTTATCAGCTTAGCATCCTGCCCACATTTAGCAATTTCAGTTCAGAAAGAAGCAAAGAATTCAAAAAACAATGAAGAAAAATGAAACAAAAGATAAAGAAAAAACTTCATATGTGTTTAGACATCATGTAATGATGGAACTAATTTCCTCTTAGGAGGAAAGGACATGTGATGGTAAGAAATATCATTACCTTTTGGAAGAGTTTTTTTTTTCTCGTTTTATCACACGCATAGATGTCTGAAAGATCTGAATTTTCACTGATTTTCGTCGCAGGAACTTGGGTCTGAATCTCTTGACGGGATCAATATCGGCGCAGGTCGGCAATCTGAGTTGCATGCAAAAATTGTAATTCCCCCACTGTGACAAGAATGATATGATTTGATTAAAGGGTTGTTTTTCATGGTTTTATGATGTTAAGTTGTTTTTGGTCCCTCCATAGTTATTGCCACATTCTACTGTTGTTAGGCGCCTTAATGCCAATGCGTTCTCCGGGGAGCTTCCGAACGAGATCGGAAGTCTTACTGAGCTGTTAGAAGTGTAAGTCATGCTTGTAGCTTGAGTTGATGTTTGTCTATCTTCCTTAGGCTAGTTGATGCGTATCAGAGTCTGGATTTCAATGTTTTGATGTGACTTGAGTGTATCTTGATCACGAAGAATGGATAGATGTAGTCATGGAGTTGCTTATACCCCGTTTCTTAATGCATTTGTTAGTTGTTGATCTTGAGGATTGAGGAGTTCATTAAAATTAATCTACCTTAACTTCTCGGTACATGCTTTTAGATTGCATACTGTGGAGCTCCATTTTTGTACACTCAAGAGGAATGTGAAATGATATAGTCTGTTGCTACAGAGGTGACATCAAGTTCCATGTTTGAGCGACCCTTCCCTGTTATAAGAGATCTATAAGTGATATATACTGCTAAAGGATGGGTTTATTCTATGCTGGATCAGTAAAATTGTCTTAGAGCCATTGCTAAGGTGAAATTTACAACATAGAAGACAAAGGGAGTTTTCTTGTATCATCATGAGCAAAGCGTGCATTTGTGCCAGAAAGTTCTTGTAAATAGATAGAAGATAATGCCAGAGTGGTATGCAAGTTTTGGCAAATGGTAGTTGACCTTTTATATTGACTGAATCACATACGGAGGTAACAGAACAAATAAGCGTGAAAGGTTTATGATGATTGCATATGCATTAGTTTGTCTATGCTTCTGTAGATGTGCGATGGAAGCTTTGGCTATTCCCCCATAAATTAGTACCATGTTCAATCAGATGCCTCCTACTTACAAGAACTACATATCCATTCTTTGTTCTCTTTTGCTCCATTAGATCCATCTGAACATAATAACTTACGAGATTTGCACTTGTTGCAGGTCATTCGCAGAAAATGACTTCTCTGGTTCTCTACCACGTTCTCTTGGAAATCTCTCAAAGTTACAGCAGTTGTGAGTTTCTTCATGTTCTGTAGTTCCTTCTCAAGATTTGTTATGCGACGAAGTTGCATATAGTCTTCCAACTTTTGTTGCTTTTTATTTTGGTTCCGTTAAATTGTGATCCTCACTCACCCCAAATTAAAACACCTGCTATGATGATGGAAATATCAGTGATTGTCTCTGGAGTAAGCTGAAAAGTCAGTCACTACTTCTCCATATCTTTGAACTAGAAACACCCTAATTCAAATATGTGTATTTTGTCTTAAACTCCATTTCTCTCTTATCACGTCTGTATTCTTTTCCTGTTTGCCAACACTATTAGAAAGGGTGGATGTTGTAGATTGATGTTATGAAGTTGGTATCAACTGTTTTCTTGTCAAATTAACGTGAGGAAAAGGTTCCTTCTTTCGTTTTATAATCACCTGCTTCTACTTTACCACCATTTATTGCTTAGTTGATCCATCAAAATTGTCTTCTTTTATCAAGAGAAACATGAATATTGTCCATTTAGCTTTTCATGAAATTTTCATGTGGACAGATACTTCTCTAGCTCAGGAATCAGTGGTGAGATTCCTTCATCTTGTGCAAATCTTACAGATTTAAATACCCTGTAAGAGCCTATAAAACCTTTTGTTCCCAATGATGTGTAATCTCAGGACATTTCCGTGAGTCATTACAGACATCAGGCATTTTTTTACTCTCTGAACCTCAGGTGGGCATCTGACAATAATCTCACAGGCTCCGTCCCCGACTTCATAGGAAACTGGCTCAAACTTACTGAGCTGTACGGTGGCATAGTTTGATTTATCATCCGTTTTCCTGTTCTTACCCTTATGGAGATGGTTAGGTTCTCTTTATGCTGGATCTTATTGCTGAAGTCAAATCAATCATCTTGTCCTAATTGTGTATGTAGGAGGCTGCAAGGCAATTCTTTTGCCGGTCCAATACCATCAACCTTTTCCAAATTAACCTCTCTAAAAAAATTGTAAGCATGTTCATAATTAACCCAGTACTATCTTTTTTCTTCTTTTTGTTGTTTCTACATAGCTAATTTCTGGATAACGTCATATGTAACTTGAATTCTAGGAGAGTATCCGACATTTCTAATGGCATCTCTACGCTAGAATTTCTGGCTGACATGAGGAATCTCACAACTTTGTAAGGCAGCCTTAGTCAAATTTGACACTTTTCAGTGCTTTTCTCCATCAGTTATACTTTATCTGAGGTATCTAACATATATAGGTTTGACTGCTTGCAGAGTTCTGAGGAATAACAATATTCATGGTACTATTCCACCATATATCAGTAGTAACGAAAAATTAGAGCACCTGTAAGTTGTCTACCAATTAATGAAAAGCTCTGCAACTAATAGCTCCCTCTGGTCATTCTTTGAGACAAATAAAAGATGCTAAAACATACATCTTATCGTTCCCTGCAAGAATTAGCTCATTTTGAAGCCCAAGAGCTTATTTTGCTGTTGCTGCATGAAAGGGAATGTTTATTTCGGCTTTAGGCCAACAAAGTAAGCCACGTCGGATTTCCTGCTGAAATATTTTAATTTGTAAAAGATGAAAAAGTTTGGGGTGACTTTAAATGCTAAGATACTGGTATTTGTAAAATATAGAATGTTTAACACATAAATAAGTCCAATTTCACTTTCTAAAGGTTAAAGAAAAAAGTGAAATGTTAAAAGCAAAGGTCCCACCAGAAATCAGTAAGCTAATTGTTTAGTTACCAAACATACTATACCGTTTCTATCTTTTTTTTGTTGCTTTCTGGGGATTTTTCAATGCAACCTTAACCATGCATCTCTTCTTTTCTTTTTTTTTGGTCACACTCAATAACCAAACCCTGTTCTGTTTAATAAGATTGCTTTCCAGCGGTCTCAGAGTTTTGGTTGACTTACCCCGATTCTGATAGATTGATTCCACCAGCAAGAAGTCATTAAATTTTTCTCATTTTCTTATCGACAATTTTTTACCTTGCAGAGACTTAAGCTTCAATAATCTGAATGGATCAATTCCAGATTCCATATTCGCATTAGGTTCACTTTCTTATTTGTAAGGCATCTATTTTGATTAGTTATCCAAATCATTTGAGATGTTCTATCCAATATAAAATAATGCCTATTTCATGCTTAGGTCTCTCGGAAGTAATAAGTTGAGTGGAGCCCTCCCCTCAAAGAAAGGCATCTCCCTTGTTTATATGTGAGTGAATCAAACCAATGAGCATCTACTAAACTGCACGACATTGTGGGATCAATTTGACTGACCAGGTTTGTGTAACAGAGATCTCTCTTACAATAACTTATCCGGCAACTTTCCTTCTTGGGTCAAAGAAAATATTCAAAGGTAAGTATAGAAGCTTCAACTGAAAGTACTTTGTTTCTTGTTTTGCCCCCAATGTGCATATTTGATCGTCTAGTATGCTCTGTATATTACTGGTATCCCTCACAGACTAACCTTATGCTTTTGTCATGCACATTCAGTAACTTCGTTGCCAACTACTTCACAGCAGAAAGTTCAAATAGTGGGTAATGCTCTCTAGCCAGTTTTCCTGATGGTCTCCTGTTTAGTCTAGATGATTATTGTGATGATGCCTTATTCTGTCGTATTGGCATACAAGATGAATGAGAGATGGCTCCTTCTCTGATTTAAAAGAAAAACGAAATGATTCTTTCAGAAAGAGGTATGTAAAATGATGAGTTTTAAAATGATTGACTTAATGGAAATGGAGCATGTCAAGGTACGTAGAGTCTGTAACTGGAAAAAAGGCCTATAAACTATGAATTTCGTAGTTGATCCCATGTGGGAAAAAGTGCTAAATTGTTCATTGATAAGGCATTATGCTCAATTTTCACTGTGAGCTCAATTTTCACTGTGAGAAAAATTTCTAGCTCAGAGTGCTACCATGCTTCTATTCGTTTGCTTAGAGGTCAATGTCTTCTGTAGTGTGCTTTGTTATACTCTGCCATGATGGCCAGTAGCTTCAACCAGGAAAGTATACATAGTAACGAGTAAAGTCAAGATGATAACGTACCAGCAACTGGAAGGATGCGGAAGTATACACATATATGTACAAAATTTAAGCAACCCAGTCGCAGATCAAATGTGGCGTTTCCTCAAAATTGCGGCCGTTTAGTGGCTTTTGCATTTAGCAATGACTCATTTGCTGGAAAAGTTTCATAGATGACCTTTTGACAACATACTCATGTAGACTCTTTGTTTGCATTTTGCTGGAAGCCGCTGACCCTCAAACAAAAACTACTATCTATAAGAGAATAATTGAAAAATGCACCTTTAGCTAACAAAAATGAAGACATCAGTCGGCAGATCGACTATTTTTTCCGTGTTGCACACTGTATGAAAACTGACACCTCACCTGATTATACATAAGAACTTGTATGTTTGTTTCACAGTACAGTTAAGTATCATCTCTCTTTATTTTGAACTTAGGGACATGCCTTCGGGATGGATTTGCCTTCAACGACCATTTCGTTGCAGCCAAGACACAGGAGTTAGTAAGTTAAAATTAATTTCTTTTTTACTTTTTCCTGAACATAGATTTTAAGGAAATAAAATGTTGAGAACTTTACACGCCATGCAAAATAATACTTGTTTCAATATTGCATCCGTGGTTTGTCTCTTTTGTTGTCCGTGAAGAATAATAATTAAGCGGAAGAGAGAAATTCTGTGTATTTTCAATATCGATAGAAAAGAGTACATGGAGCCTATTTATAGACTTGAATAGATGACAATCTAAGGAAATCAGATCAGATATGCATAATCAAAATAGATACCCTAAATATCTCTAGAAGATACCTAAATATCTCTAACATTCCCCCTCCCTCAAGCTGGAGCATAGATATTAATCATGCACAGCTTGTTACAAGCATATTTTATCCTTCCACTACCTAGAGGTTTAGTAAAGATGTCTGCAAGTTGTTCACCGGTCCTAAATTCCTAATGTGACTAGGAAGAATTACTCCACTTTGCAACTTCTCTCGAATAAAATGACAATCAACCCCAATGTGTTTTATTTTCTCATGAAACACAAGGTTGGAAGCTATATGTACCGTTGCCTTATTATCACACCATGGAGACATAGGAATTGAAGCTTTAAAACCTAACTCAGTCAATAGCTGCTGAATCCACACTAATTCACATGTCACTTGTGCCATGGCTCTATATTCTGACTCAGCACAGGAACGAGCAACAACACTCTGTTTCTTACTCTTCCATGACACCAGATTTCCTCCAACCAAGGTATAGTAGCTAGTGGTTGATCTCCTGTCATCTGGAGAACTTGCCTAATTAGCATAAGAGAATCCTCCAACTTTGCTATGACCATGATTTTGGTAAACAATTTCTTTCCCCGGAGCCTTCTTCAAGTACCTCAAAATCCGATTAACTGCATCCCAATGAGACATACGAGAAGAATATAAAAATTGGTTTACCGCACTAACTAAAAAGGTAATGTTTGGTTAAGTAATTATGAGATAATTCAGCTAACCTACCAGTCTTCTATATCGCTCAGGATTATCAAGAATCTCTCCTCCTTTAGCAACCGGTTTAACTCCTTGTTCCATAGGTGAATCAAGAGGCTTTAATCCAAACATACCTGTCTCAATGAGCAAATCTAGGTCATACTTTCGTTGTGACAGAACAATACTTTTTTGTGACTGTGTCATCTCAATTCCTAGGAAATACTTCAACTTTCCTAAGTCCTTAGTTTGAAACTATTGCTGAAGATAGAGCTTTAGTTCAGCTATACCAATCAAGTCATCTCTCATGATGATAATATCATCATCATACACAATCAGTAACAACTTGCCTCCCCCTAATTGTTCATAAAAGAAAGAGTGATCATTTCCGCATTTAGATAGTCCAAAAGAGAGTACAACCTCATAAAATCTTCCAAATCACGCCCGTGGGGACTGCTTCAAACCATATAAAGACTTTTTTAACTTGCAAACTAGTCTCCTAGACTCCCCCTGAGCAACGAACCCTAAAGGTTGCTCCATATACACCTCCTCGTGTAAGGTATCATGCAAGAAAGCATTATTGACATCAAGCTGAAACAAGGGCCAGTTATATGTGGCAGCAAGAGAGATCAAAATACGAACAGATGTAAGCTTGGCAACAGGAGAAAAAGTGTCTAGATAGTCAACCCCATACACCCGAGTATACCCTTTCGCAACAAGTCTTGCTTTTAAGCGAGCAAGAGAACCATTGGGATTGACTTTCACAGCATACACCCATTGACAACCAATAGCAATTTTGCTTGAAGGAAGAGGTACCAAGTCCCAAGTTTGATTAACTTGTAAGGCCTTTAATTCTTCTTCCATAGCTGTCCTCCAGCTAGAGCTTTGTAATGCCTCAACTACAAACTTGGGGAGACGATATTGTTCAACAATAAATAAGAAGGACCGAAAGGAAAGAGACACAGATAAGTATGAGATAAAGTTTGCAATAGAGTGTTGAGTGCAAGCACGTGTACCTTTGCGATGAGAAATAGGAAGATCAAGATCAGACACAAGAAGAGGGTTAGCTAATGGCGGATCTGGAGTTGAAGATGACATAGTAGTGATAGGAGGAAGGGGAGAGTAGTAGCTACTCGAGGACGCCGAGCATAGATTTTGAGAGGAGGTGGTTCCTGTGCAGATACCGATGAAACAGCTGGAGCAGTTGACCGAATGGTGGTCACATGTAAGTTTTCATCCACCTCAGAAACAGTGATTGGAACATAATGATAAAAAGTGGATATAAAGAATAAAACATAAGCAGTGATAAAGTACTTCCTCAATGATGGAGAATAACAACGGTATCCCCTTTGAGTACGAGAATAACCCACAAATGTGCACTTGATGGCCCTAGGATCAAGTTTTGATACTCTAAGTTGATGATCACGAACAAAACAGACACAACAAAAAATACGGGGTGGTAAGACAAACATTGACTGATTGGGAAACAAAGTAGAAAATGGAATACCATCTCATAAAACAGAAGAAGGCATGCGATTAATGAGATAGCATGCAATCAGGACAGCATCAGACCAAAAGGCTTTGGGGATCTTCATCTCAAACAACATGGACCTAGCGACTTCCAATAAATGCCTATTCTTTCTTTCAGCTACACCATTTTTGTCATGCCCCGAACCCCAACGAGCTCGCGACATCCCCTGCTCCGGTCGAAATGATGCGACGTCCCAGGAACGTCGCCGACCCAACCCAAACATCAGAGCCACATGCGGAAGCGAATAACAAAACCCCGGACAAATAATAACGACAACGGGGTAGAACAACAGAACAATCCAGCAACCACATTTTCATACAACACCAAATATACATACATCATATTACAGGCATAATTAACAAACTAGCATCCGAAATCACCGTCAACAAAATATCAGGGTCTGGTTAACTTAACTTCCCTATGGGTCAACCCGATTTATACAACCCCAAAAACCTTAAGGAAAAACCTAAGGATTGCCCTCCTCCAGTCTGCTTCTGAATCTCTGGCTTGAATCTCTAGAACTCACCTGCAGCTCCACTGGGCACCAACAGTAGCTCCCCGGACTTCCAAAAAGAAAAGGCGCACTTCCCGGGTTTAGGGCCGGGGGTCTGAAAGTGGCGGTTATACAACCGTGAGACGAATCTCAATAAGTGTACAATCCCAAACCCCACGTAGGCACTCACGTACCGCCAGACGAAAACACACATAACACACAACGATCGGCCAAACTAACAATCACATGCAATTATAAGACAGAAACCACTTGGGCACGTCCCATACCGTGCCTAGCAGTTTCTACCCCATAATTAAGCATCACATCGCGCGATACAAACACATTCGCACGCTACTCACACTATGCGTTTCCACAATCCTCTCGCTTGTCTTGCCAAATCCCACTCATTCTCAACCTTTCCACCACTACCGCGCCCACGTAAAACGCATCAGGCCAACGGTCTTCTGACCTCGTCAGGCATCGTCACCCCGTCGGGCCGGGCATCGTCACCTCGTCAGGGACGGCATCGTCCCGCGTAAACGTACACGCCCCAGGACGGAATCCTACACACACTTACCTTTCCAACCAATCCTACATTTCCGTACCCTCGTTCCACTCAAACCACACTTGCCACGCCACCACACAAACACACTGCCAAACATACACACTTCACACACATTTCACATTTACACAACCTCGTCACACAAACACCGCACGAACACCCAATCACACATTGTTGGCACGCGAATACAATACGCGAATGCACTACCACACCACCACACTTCACGAACACACAAACTGGCATTTCTCCACACCCAAACGTTATCAAATCAGTTCAGGCCCTTCACGACAATTTCACAAAATCTCGGGCCGGACCTAACAGTACCAACCACACAACAAACAGCACCCCACAGCACCTAAAACCACACATCACAGCCATCAATCAGTCTTTTTCGCCCTCAAAATCACCATATCTCACTCCCGGCTCTTCACGGCACTTTCATAAAATTACGAGCCGGTCCTAATGGTACTAACTGCGTATCGAACAGCCACTCACAGCACATCACACGGCATATCACAGCCAGCAAACAGTCCCTAAAATCACTTAAACCGAACTTCAAACGAGTCTAGAAATACCCGAGGTCCTAAATGACATTTGGGAAAACACTTACCCAAAAGGCGAGACAGAACGGGGCTGGAACGGGCCGGGACAGCGGCAGCAGCAGAGCGGCGTCGCCGGCGATGTACGGACGGCGTGAACAACGATTCCGTACGGCGCGGGAACAGTACTTTCGTACGGACACCGTACGGACAGGCTGGGACGGTGGCCAGCGAGGTGCCGGTGACAGCCGCGGCGTCCGACGGTTCCGGCGTGAACAGTGATCCGTACGGACGGTGAACAGTGCCCCCCGTACGGACACTGTACGAACTGTGCTGGACGGCGACGTACGGCGAGGCTGGATGGCTGGGTGTCGACGGAACGGCGATCGGAGCTCCGGCGAAGCTCCGGCGGTACTGTTTGCAGAACGGGAAAGAGAGAAAAAGAGAGAGAGAAGGCTGTTCTGGACTAAAACCGGGGCTGTGGTGGCTGAACAGGTGAGAGGGAGGTCCAAGGGTGCTGTGGCGACGGCTGGTGGGCGGCCAGCAGCTCCGGCTGGTACTGTTCCGGCGTGAACAGTACCGGAAATGGCAGAAACGTAAACTGCAGAATAGAAAACAGAGAAAGGAGAGAAAACTTGCGGGAGAAATGGCCGAATGGTCTGCTGGAGAGAGAGAATAACCTGGTCAAATATGGGTCAACAAGTGTGGGTGGATTCCAAGTGTCAAGATCGAGGGCTAATGGACAATTTTGCCCTTGATCCAAAGGCTAGGATTTGCCCTAATCCAATAATTTAGGGGTAGAATGGTCCTTTGTCCCCAACCATGGTTGACCGGACCTGGTTTAACCTTAACTCACCTTGGTTAATCCCAAAATTAAATCCAAATTTCGGAATTAATTAAAAATGGCCTAGGGGTATTTTCGTAATTTTCCGATCCCGAACCGAAATTCCAATTTTCGCACATACGTGTTCCATATGTGCGTGGCCAACATAATATGGCGTCGGAATCGCGAAATTCATCGAAACAAAGTAGAAAATGGAATACCATCTCATAAAAATGAGAAGAAGGCATGCGATTAATGAGATAGCATGCAATCGGGGACAAGATCAGGACCAAAAGGCTTTGGGGATCTTCATCTCAAACAACATGGACCTAGCGACTTCCAATAAATGCCTATTCTATCTTTCAGCTACACCATTTTGTTGTGGTGTATCATAACAGGAAGATTCATGGACTATACCATGTTGAGTCATAAAGTCACAAAAAGGTGCAAAAAAGTACTCCTTAGCATTATCAAAACGCAAAACTTTAACATGCACACCAAATTGAGTATGAATTTCATAAATAAAGGCACAAAATATAGAAAACAATTCTAAACGACTTTTCATTAGATATAGCCAAGTGACTCTGAAACAGTAATCAACAAAAGTTACAAAGTATCTAAAACCCAAATTGGAAACCACATGACAAGGACCCCAAATATTTGAATGAACTAATGAAAAAGGAGACACCGCTCACTTAATGACTTGACGCAGGTAACTGATAGGATGCAATTTACCAAGTTGACATGATTCACACTCTAAACTAGAAAGAGACTGAAAACTAGAATCTAACTTCTGAAGACTGTGCAACGAAGGTGACCAAGACAACAATGGATTTGATGTAGGGAAGCAACATTAGTGCATGCCATAGATGGAGCATTTTCAAGCACATATAGCCCCTTGCCTCATGTGTTATACCAATTGTTCTCTTCGTAACTAGATCCTGGAAAAATACAAGAATCTAGGTAGAATGTCACTGAACACCGAAAGTTTTTGGTTAATTTACTAACGGACATGAAGTTAAATGGAAATTATGAGAGATAAAGCACTGAGGATAATGGCAATGAAGGAGTTGGATGAACTATACTAACCCCCGTAACTTGTGTAAATGAATCATTATCTAGGGTATCAATGGATGATGATGGAGTAAGAGAGGAAAATATACTTGAAAGACCTGACATGTGATCGGAGGCCCCTGAATCAATGATCCGAGGGCGAGAAGTAGCTGAAAGGCATGCAGTAGAATTATCTGTTTGTACCAGAGTAGCAGAAGAAGCAGGTTGTGAAATTTGAAACTGGTTGTACCAAACAAATTCCTCATCAGACATAACCACTGTGTTGCCTTTAGAAGACTGTGGCAAAGAAGAAGAATCAATACCAGATACAGCATTTGCAAACTGTTATTGCTACCCTGGTCTCCCATGTAATTTGTAACAAAATTTCTGAATGTGACCAGGTTTGCTATAGTAATGACAGTTCGATCAGCCCCTGAATTATCAATAGAAATGTGGGACTATCCATAAAGTTGCTATTGGCCTTGGCCTCTCCTTGTTCTTGCGTCTCGGCCGCCACCATGGCCACCACGACCATTATGTCCTCCGCGGTTTCCTCCATCACTCCTACCACCATCACCAGTTCGAGACTGGAACACAAATGCTGAATTATCTACCACAGGCGTGGCGTCCTGAGAAGATTCACGAGATACCCAAAGAACTCTACCAAATGTATCCATTAGTGATGCAATAGTCTCTCCTCTAAGAATATGATATTTAATAGTTTCATAGTATAGACCGAGACCTCTTAGGAATCTCATTATACCAAATTGTTCTCTTTGAAGTTGCATTTGCTGAACATCAGTTGAAATAGGGAGAAGGGGATTCAACTCCTCATACATCCTCTTAAAATTAGCAAAGTACTGTGAAATGGAACACGCCCTTCCTCTCAGATTGATAAAACTCTTGCGATACCTCATAAATCTGTGAAAGGTTATTTTGGCCAGAATACAATACACCAAAAAACTCCCACGGTTCTTTGACTGTGTCAATGTGAGTTACTAGATCAATTATATTACTCTCCATAGAGTTCAACATCTGACCAAGAATAATACATGCATCAACAACATCCCAAGTTGCATCATTCCTGTGTTTAGGCCTAGTCAGTGTATATGCTAATTTCTGCCTGTCAAAGTTAGCTTCACAATTTTCTTCCATTGTTGAAAGTTGGCACTACCCTCTAGCTTCTTATCGGTTATTCTATTAGAAGAAGAGGAAATTACCTCAGTCATCACAGTATTACTCTTCTCTGGATCATCCATTCTCCAATAATAATAAGAAAACTACAACAATATTTTCCTTCAAGCGACTCAACCTTAACAGTTCAATAATCCAATGCAATTGGAAAATACACATCAATAAACCACTTCATACTAATAGCCTGACAAGATTGTCACAGCACAAGGAACCAATCGAACCAATAGTCCAGACATAGGAAAAGAATATCGGATAACATCCTTTGCTGTCCCAAAGTTTTCCTCGAGGACCAAGGAGCTTGATCGGTGTCAAATCTTGGCTGGTTAACGCTGGAACTGGGATGAATGATATTACTCGACACGGACGACGCCAGATCTGAGCTGGATGGGGCTAGGCGATGCTGGACAACATCATATGTGATCTGGGTTGGATGGGGCTAGGCGACGCCGGATCTGGGCTGGCGGTTTTTTTTTTTTTTAGAGAGAAATTTCAGCGGTGACCGGTGACGGCTCTGATACCATGAAGAATAACAATAAAGCGGAAGAGAGAAATTCTATGTATTTTCGATATTGATAGAAAAGAGTACTTGGAGCCTATTTATAGGCTTGAATAGATGACAATCTAAGGAAATCAGATCAGATATGCATAATCAAAGTAGATACGGAGAATCAAAAGAGATACCGTATATCTCCAACAGCCCGTAATGTATACTCTTCTTCATTAATCTAGAGTCGATAAGAATGGTTGGCTGTCCTGTCCTTAGTTCTTTTCTGCCAAAGTATCACCCCACTATGTAATATATGGATGGGACCCTTGGAAAATGAAAAAGCTGATTGGCTGTAAGCAAATGCCATTCCGAGGGTCCAAAGAAATAGTTCTACATTAAATTGTCGCTTGTCTTTCTTCTCGATTGAGAGATTAACCTTATTATAAGTCATCGTACCCTACTGTGGAATGTTTCCTAAACATGGAAGCTAGTGAGAAGGTGCATCAATCATCATTTTGACATGTCAAAAACCTCTTTTGCACCCGGGATTCATGATTTCTCAAAAACTAAATGAACAGGCGGGACTAGTGGTAGTACACTGATGCAATTGCAAATAAACCTACTCTAAAATGAGGCCACCTCCTGGAAGCTACTAACATCACCCTGTAGATTGCAGCCAAACCAAGAGACAGAACTTCATAACAAAGAGGCACCAAAGTTTGTAGACTTGCACAATGTTGCTCCTAATAAAGAATCTTCATAAATTTGCAGATTTGTCAAGTGCTCCTCGCAGGTTTTCCTAATTATTTTGGGTCATCAGATCAAAATACAACAAAGTTACTGAAGAAAGGGCTTAAACAGTCATGGTCTTTGCTTTTTTAAATGTTTTGGAGTATCACATCGCTAAAAAGCTTAGGAGCCACTTACTGCAACTTTCTATTTGTCTCTGCTTCTTAACTTAAGTAGTATTATCCACTCTGCATGGCACTGAGGAGACACTGGGTGCTATCACAGAAGTAATCAGTGCAGTCAACTGTCCATGCTCCATGTACCATATTTGGAGTACAAGCACAGCTAGCATAGCAAAACTGCTTCTACATTCTTGCATAAGACCTCAATCAACTCTACCAACTGACATTATATTTGTGGTCTTGCTACTGGTGAGAATGTTTTTTCTTTTTCCTTTTTAAATTGTCGCCATAAGTACTTGAATAATTAATGGCATGATGTACAATTTGTCATCTACAATCAACCTCATTGAAGTTCATTTTTATGGCTGACTTTGTGCAATGGAGTGGAATTGCTTTGCATTTTCAAAAGGAATTGTTCCTACTGGCAAAGGACGTGAGCATATATGCATGTGTCAATGTTAAGTTTGAGCATGTGGTCTTTGCAAAGATTGCTAAGCTGAAACTTTGTCAGTAAACCATTCAGAGTGTAACATAGATGTTTGAATATTTGTTAAATTATCACAAATCACTTGTCTATGAGGTTTATATTAGCATTATATGCATGCAATTTGCCTCCGCTTAACAGCTTAAGCTTTTGGGTTGGACATTCTAAGTCGGGTTTCTCCTCGGTTTATTTCACGTGTGTGGCTCCCCATTCCTTATTTCCACATTGCTGTTCTCGGTCACGTTTGCATAAGAGTGGGGATGTTAATATATTCCACGTTACTTGTCACAAGTTTATGTGGGCCTTATATATGGTTTCCCTCCAAATAACATTTTAATGTTTTGAGTGGACATTCTAATAGTATCCCATCAAATAAACTATGTATTCCTTCGCAGATATCAGTTTTGCGATCAATTCCGGGGGTCCAGTAGTTAAATCTTCTGATGGAACTCTGTTTGAGGATGACTATAACAATGGCATTGGTCCAGCTTCGTTGTTTGTTAGCGAGACAAAGAGGTGGGCACTTAGCAATGTTGGGATTTTTACCGATGCTACCAACTACCAATTCACATGTTCAACCTCCAACGCCATCTTGAATACGCTAGACCAAGCTCTCTTCCAAACAACCAGGACATCTGCGTCATCATTGAGATACTATGGGTTGGGACTCCAGAATGGCAACTACACAGTGAACCTAGGGTTTGCAGAAACAGCTTTTCCAGATGGTAGCCAGTGGGCAAGTCGGGGAAGGCGTCTCTTTGATATATACATTCAGGCTAGTCTTTAGACCAGTATGCTGCATAAAGTATTTTAGTGGCATGAAGCTCCAGTAAGACGTCTTGGATGCACAACTATAATATCATTGGCATGGATATTTATGAGCTTATGACTTTACTTGAAACTGTGCTCAATCTTTGTTTCATGATTCTTCATCAACATCGTTGGGCTCATGATGGACATTTACCTTTTTTAAAATCCTTGCACAAGATTGCTTATCGTATAAGTACCTTGAATAATTATATCCTCACTCCAATGAATTATCTTTTCCAGTTCGTGATGAGAGAAAGAATTGCTATCATTTGTCGTCTTTGTGTTTTTGGTGCATCTCTTATTACAATTGTCGATACTAGTGTACAAACTCATAAATTACAGCCTTTAAATCAGGGATGAACCTTTCAATTTTCGAGATGAGTTTCTCTGAGTTTCCCATAGTTAATTTCTCAAGAAGTAGGTGGACTAGGTTTTTGTGAAAATCTACCACAATAAGCGTTGTTCAACTTTCTTCATCTAGCACAACAAATTGTACTAGGTAACCTGATCAATCTTTTTTGGCTTATTCAAGGGGATTTTGATGTCAAAGGACTTTGACATTAGAAAGGAGGCGGGTGGGAGGTCCTTCCGAGCTGTCGAGAAGGCATTTAAGGTTCAGGTATTTGAAAACTATGTTGAAATTCACTTCTTTTGGGCTGGAAAAGGGACATGCTGCATGCCTGCTCGAGGTATATATGGACCATCTATTTCAGCTATTCGTGTTAGTCCAGGTAATAGATTTCTTTTCTTACCACTAGTGCACATTCACCACCATGTGTTCACTCTCCTGAAATGCTTCTGCAGATTTTACACCTACTTTTCCAGACAAGAGGAAGAATATGATGCCTTTGGTCGCAGGGATTGCAGTTAGTGTTGGAGTGATGTCTTTTCTACTTACTTTTGTAGCTATTTATTTTCTCAGAATAAGGAAAAGGCGAAGCTCCAATCAAGAGACAGGTGAAATAATTTGCATCATGGTGTTTAATCCTTCTTGAAATAGCCATATTGCATAAGTTACATGCATGACGATTATTTGATGGTTCGTAATGGCCTTACGTTGTGTCAAAGTGTCTAGTTATATTGTTATGGTGCTTTATTGTCCCCACATTTATGGTTCTTAAGGTATTCTCATATAATTTCAGACATACTCATCTAGTGTCAATTGGTTGTTGTAATCCTAAATGCAATTACATGGTTTTCCTCTTGGACAAGATACTCTACCATATAGGAAAATAGTTATGCCTAGTGTCATTCTATGGATGATTTGACAGAAAAACCAATGAAATAGCAAAAAGTAAGTCAAGAACATGTCCTTTTTTGGCCCAATGTGAGTCCCACTATTTCTCCTTATTTGAGTGGCTTGATCTGGTAGAATGTGCCTATGCAATCATTTTTATAGTATAGTGGGCCTCTGCATTTTTGGACTGGTTTATCAGTTATCTTGCTAGTAAGATATCTGTCTCTTTTGAAGTTTAGACTTATTCTGTCACTAGTGAGCGTCTTTTGTAAAGGAGATGTGAAGTGTTAAACCAGGGATATGCTTCCAAAAGAATTTCCTCGAGGAATGAGTAATGGAGATCTGTCATCCCTTCTCTATGTCTCATCAATGAGTAATTACCTTTCAAATAAACGTAATATAATGGACTGCAAGACTTAAATTTCCAAGAGAAGTGTCCAGAATTCAGGAAATAGATCTTTTGATAATATAACTGCCGATGAGGGAGAGCACTGTGGTGACCTCGCAACACAGTGTCAGTTTTTTGCAGATGGGAGATGAGTAAATTGGAAACTTTTTCTTACTGAATATGTTATGCAGATGCCCTGAGAGTTGCTACAGGGGCATTGACTTTCAATTATTCAGAGCTACACAATGCTACAAATGGTTTCAGCCTTGCTAATAAGCTGGGCCAGGGTGGTTTTGGAATTGTTTATAAGGTAATTTTGCATCATGATATTTGGAATATAGCAAGAGACTAAGCTTTCTGTCCTCTAGGGCTTTGCAATGCTTTCCAACTGTCCAGGTCTGGTTTGTAATTATTGTCCGCAGTATGACATTTTAACATTTAATTTGCTCTAAAAAGGTGCCAATTTGTGTCGAAATTTGAATTGAGTGTATTATGTCATGTTGCATTTGTGTTTTTGTCAGTACCTATTGTCTCTTGTTGTGTTTATGTGATTTTACCGGCTGCGGCCATCAGTGCCAGCCCAAGTTCACAGAAAGTCATTATCTCTACCGTCTCTAAATGTGTTAGCATCTTCTTTCTAAATGGTAAAGTTGTCAGATTTTAGCTGAAACTAAGAGTTTATTTTCGAAGATGAAGATTCTTCCCTTTTTTGGGGGTCGCCGCCTGGGCCAGTGCAGAGGGAGGGGTGGGGTGGAGTTGACAAGTTCAAACATTTCACTTGCCTGAGCTATTAACTGATAAGTTTGCATCATTATGATGAATGAATGCAGACTTTCCTGTTCATAGAAACCAAGATTACAGTCACTTCATAATCTTCTGGATTCCGTTTGAGTTTGGATTGATCTAAGCTATAATTTATCCTTTTCCCGAGCCCTAGGCCCTAGGTGCATGCTAGTAACCTACACTTGATTATCTCACTGGAAATTATCAGCTGAGAATGTACTATGTGAAGATTTGGTTCCCACGGGCTCACTCTTGTCATCTTTAGGTAGTTAAGACAGGATCATGCTACTGAATATTTTCTTCTTCAAGGGATGATTAATATTTTAGATTAGCTAATAGTCGACTATCATGATTGAACACGTACCTATTTTGTTTCATGGAGGCAGGAAAAGGTGGTGCTAGCTTGTGCCAAAAGAGGTGTCGGCCACAAGTTTTATATTGTATATGCACTCAGGAATGTGGTGTATTAAGCAGTCTTGACAAGACAATGCTCATTCACATACATCGAACTTCTGTAGTAAGAAATACTCTGAAGGGAAATGCAATAGCTTCCCTGTCTTGAAAAGTTCTGTTCGTTTCACTTAGAAATTATTTTTCGGTATTCACTTGCTATTGTTTCTACATCATTGATGTGAGATCAAAGATAGTATCGTCGTGCAGCAGTCAGCTCTGTTTGGGAGAAAACAAAATAAAATAAAAAGAGTTCATTAATTGAAAGATATTTGGCTGAGCCATGGTAGTAGTGGCACGATGAACAGAAACTACTCTAGAAAGTTTTTTAACCCTTAGGCTCTTATGCTCCATCGTTCATCATTTGTACCCTCTCCTAAGCTCATTCCTTAGGAGGTTAGACCATTCATTGTCTGCTACACAGCCCTTATTCCATTTCTTAACATTCTCTCTCAATTGAAACATTCATGTCAGATCCTTTTAGCTTGTTACATATGTATTTGAGACCCCGCCAAGTTGCTGGTGAACAAATTAACAGGTTGATGCTTTTGACTTAGCACAGACTATCTTAATGAGCTTCTGCAGAATTTGCTCTTGCACAAAGAGACATTCAGCTCAGCTTTTCCTCTGAACTACTCACATTGTTAACTCCACTGTATTTGGAGGCTTGGAACGCTGTAATAGATAACCAAAGAATTTTCATTCCTCAGGTTCATGATTCATTTGTGTCTAATGGACCCTTAGTTGAGCCTCAAGACGATAATGTGTAAAAGCTAAGGCTAGCTAATTGGTTCTCAAATTTTATCTCTGCGTAACTGATACTGTTTTCTCTGATATGTGCATGTTCCATGAAGATAGTTTATGAAACGCGATTATGTCCCTAAGCCATAGAAAATTCTACACTATAGGGAATACTTGGTGATGGGAGACTTGTTGCTGTGAAGAAACTCTCTGCGACATCTGACCAAGGAAACAGTCAGTTTCTAGCAGAAATTGCGACGATATCTGCTGTTCAACATCGCAACCTCGTGAAGTTGTATGGATGTTGTGTACATGGTGATGAACGCCTCCTTGTGTATGAGTTTCTGGAGAACAGTAGTCTCAATCATGCCTTATTTGGTAAATGTCAATATTCTGCATTTTATGGATATTCCCATCGACACAAAAATGCTAGATACAATATTAATAATCACATTAATGGGCAGGGAAAACAAGCCTTCTTATTGACTGGGGCACTCGTTATGATATATGCTTGGGTGTAGCACGAGGACTGGCTTACCTTCACGAAGAATCAAGAGTTAGAATCGTGCACAGAGATGTGAAGGCCGGCAATATTCTGCTTGATTCAAGTCTTAACCCAAAAATTTCAGACTTCGGATTGGCGAAGCTTTACAGTGATACAAGGACTCACATAAGCACTAAAATTGCAGGGACAATGTAAGATACTGAACACTTGCCTCTTGGCTTTTGAATATATATATATATGTTTATATATATATCCTTTTATTTTCTGGCACTGGAATAGTGGGTATCTGGCGCCGGAGTACGCCATGTGTGGGCACCTGACTGAGAAGACTGATGTCTTTGCCTTTGGCGTGGTGGCTTTAGAGATTGTTGCTGGAAAGCCAAATTGTGCATCCGAAGGAGCAGCGTCTCTGCTTGAGTGGGTAAGGATGAACAGAATTACTTGCATACGGATTCTTCGATCTGTTTAAGCTCATCTTTATTTTGGCCAACGGATTTAGAGGATCCAGAACCCTTCTCAAGGTTCTTTCTATTGAGTCTAGGAATTTGCAAACAATCTTCCAAATGCATCACGTGTGCAGGTGTGTGCACCCTGTATGTGCATACTGCATATATATACCAGGTAATGCAAATGTATGTTTATGCTTGTTACATGTAGGTATGATGGATTCGTCCATATTTGTTTGCACATCAGATTTACGAGGGGCGTGTGAGATGTCGCTGCAGACTTGTCATTCTCGGATGATAAAGACAAGCTGTATCTGTGTTAACGTTACGGGCGATGCACTTACAGAGTACACTAGTAAAACTGCTTCTGCTTCATTTAGAAGATCTCTACTCCACATCTAATTTCATGTGCTGTAACTGTGGACATATTGCCTCTTTTACAGAAGTAATGCATTTTGGATTTAGATTAATGAAATATAGGGATAATGACACATGATTTTCGATCGCGCACTGTAGTTTGCTGATTTTGCTGCAATTTTTTTTGCCTTGTAAGGCCTGGCACCTGTACGAGAACGAGCGCCAGGTCGAAATAGTGGACCCTAGATTATCAGAATTCGAAGAGGAGGAAGTTAAAAATGTGATTCACGTGGCCCTCCTCTGCACCCAGACGCAGCCGTCCCTAAGGCCACCGATGTCCAGTGTAGCGGCGATGCTCCTGGGCCGTACCAATGTCGTGCCTTCAAAGCCAGTTTACCTGACTGACAGCATGTTTGGCGGTGCATCGACAGAGGGAGACTCGCGCGATTATGGCTCGTATCCCGGTAGTACGACCCTGGCCAACACCGGAGAAAAGTCGCCCCCGAATGACACCGAGCCAATCCGATGTGAGTATCTATTGGACCCGTCAAAATTTGTCATTGACCCATTTCTTAACGGATATTTAACGGGCTGGGTTGTTACCTGGATTAGTTATATTTAGTAAATTGATCATAAATAGGTTTATAATGGTAAACCTCAAAATAATTTGGATGTTGAATAGGTTCACAACTTGCTTACACCCAAACCACCTTTATGACTCTCTTCACTTTCTCTCTCCCTCTCTCTCGCCCTTGCTCAATCTCACGCTCGCTCATTCCGTGTTCTCTCCTCAGTTTGGGTGTGAATTTTCCAAAATTTGGTTAAATATCGAAATATTTTAGCGATATGGGTAAGGTCGGGTATGGGTCATTAGATTTGTATACCATGCAAATGGGTCAAAATGGATTAAATGGATCAATTTAGATCAGACCATTTTTGGCTCGACCGGACCCGCCTATTTGACAAGTCTAGTATCTACCCTAACTGCTAAGTTGGTCATGTCTTTTTTTATTTGTCTTTCCGCTGTGGTTAAGCTCATGAAACTCCTGTAAGTGTGCTCAGTTTTCGTTCTTTTTCCCCTTCCCGTTGTTTTTTCTTGAATCTTGTGGCGACGCTTTGGGTTTTGGTAGTGGTCCGTAGAGTGAGAATATATCTTCATCAAAAAGTTATCAATATCCTGTTTTTTCCTTGCTAGTCACCTTGGCAATCAGAGGCATGCCCCCTTTTCTTTGGCTTCCCTCGCTATTTCCTACTTTTATTTTTCGTTGATTACATACGTAATTGAAGTATAGACTTTTAGTTTTGAACTCTCCTCTTTGAACAGGGAGATACAGGAAGCTCACTGATAAAGCGGCCAATTGAATCGAAGGTATCTCTTGACGCAACGTTGAGATGTGAAGATTAAGCCGAAGCATTGTACGATGTCTAGAGACCGCATTAAGAATGAATATCCACAATGTGTCATTTCTTTCACAGTATTGACCGGTTGTCTTCATCAATCCGGCGACAATTCCGGGGAGGGCGTCCATTAAGTAAAGCTATTTTGCATATACAGGTAAAGGAAAGTAGCAACTGTTCTGGTTACCAGCATCATAGTGTCATAGAAAAGCAGAGTCCAGTGTCTCCTCATGGAATGTTCAAGTCAACGACCATTGAAGAGTTGACCGATAACTTTGTCACTGGTCTAATGCGTACATTTGCCATCTTAAATTGTTGGAATAAGAACATCAAATTCACAGGTATTTGGGCTTAATTAAAAAAAAAGCATTAACTTTACCTTAAATGACAATTTTGGCACGAACATTTATGTCTCATAAACATCACAAACTTTCACTTAAATCTCAAATCTGACCCAAACAATTTGAAAATTTCACATCACGGGGGCTAGATTTGAGACTCGAGTAAAAGTTAATGCTTTTTATTGAGACAAAAAAAAAGTTCGGATCAGAATTGTCATTCCAAGTAAAACTGATTTTTTATTTTTTTTGGAATTAGCACCAGGTATTTGTGTGTACAAATGAGACATCACTTATGTCGTTTTGGTGATATTTGCTCTCTTATTTGCCACGTCCGATTGTGAAATATTAAGAAAGCCACGTAGAAGTACACTTATCATCAACATAATGTCACATCACCTTTTGCGACACTACAAGTCACCGGAGTAACTTATGTGGCAAAATTTGAAAGTTAAGGAATTAAATGAATGATTGAAAAGTTGCCGCACCAAATAGAGCACCATATGAATATTTCGGTACTTTTAGTGTATTTTTCTCTAAAATAAATTAAATTAAGTATTTTTGTTCGATGGGATATGAACAACAAATATTACCTTTCTTTTTTTTTTCACTTTGATGAGAATGCAAAATATATATATAAAAAAGGAGTGTTTTTAGACAATCCAAACACACCTTGGTTCAACTATATTAAACTTGTTGCTAGAACAATCTGTATTATGTAAAAAAAAAATTTACCTTGAAAATTGCAATTTGTAAATTAGGTGGGACAAAGAGTGAATTTATAGTCATCCTTGCCCCATGGCCTGTGCTGTCCCGCACCCTACCCTACTACATATCAAATTCAGTGTTTTATACTATATGTCATTTATGTTACACTTTCAAGGATTAGAAAAATTGCATGACACTAAATTAAAATAAATATCTTAATTTAAATTTAAACTTAAGATAAATTAATTTTTTTCTTTTTTCTTTATCTTCCATTTTTTTTCCAGGAAATCCGGCAAGGTGGCCGGTCGGTTGCCGTTTACCATTGGTCGCCGGCCGCCAATCACCAGTCGTCGGTTGTCGATTGTCGCCGGTTGCGCAATCGGCCGGCGGCCACCAGTCATCGGTCGTCGTTGGTCACCACCAGCCGCCGCTAGTCGCCGGCCGGTTGTTGGCCATTACCGGTCCTTGGCCGATTGGCAATTGCCAATTGTCGGTCACCGGTCTTCGCCGGACGCCGCTATGGGTCAGGTATGGGTCGCCAAAATTGTATTGTACGGAAATGGGTCAAAAACGATTACATGGGTTAGTATGGGTCGGACCATTTTCGACCCGATTCACCCGTTTGATAGGTCTAATCATTAACCAATGTTGAGACTCTAATCTTACTTTCAGTATGCTTGTAAGCATGTTTTCTACATGTAGACCTCGAGCATGGACGATCATCTTGCAGTTTGATTTGTCAATGCGGTCAGTTGTTGCTCTATAGATATCAGAAATCTTGTTGATTAAAAAAAAATCTGAAATCTTAAAAAAATCTAAAAATAATAAAAGAAAAAGAAAATAGAAAAACAAAGGCAACTTGGCATCTAGATATGTAAAAGAGAAAAGTGTCGGTTGCAGTTGCATTCGATAAACATAAGGCAGAAAAATGACATTACAAGTGTCCTAATTTTTTAACGGCACTTAGTCGGTTTTTTTTTTATCACTTGAGTGTTACGACTTCTAAAAAGAATGTTCACTTAAATGTCATAACTATTTTTTCGATCACTTAAATGTCATGACTTCAAAAACTATGTTCACTTGATTTAAAGAAACGTTCACAACAAGTGTCGGGAATCGGACATGACATGGCACTGGTGATGACGTTTTTTAAAAGTTATAACGCTTAAGTGAACTTGTTTTTGAAGTCATGACACGCAAGTGAATTTTTTTTTAGAAGTCCTGGTATTCAAGTGATTGTAAAAAAAAAAGTAACACTACTCAAGTGAGCGCTATATAAAAGTTATGCCGCTTGTAATGTCCTCATCCCCATATAGGCTTAGTGCATATGACCCGTTGGATCATGCAGACCAACCGCGGGACTCACATAATCCAGCGTATCACATGCATTGAATTATACTATTCCATGTGCAATGCAATCGCATGTCCGAAAGGGCCAAGTGGATCGTGGAAGTGGAACCAGAGCAAGAGTCCAGCTCTCGTGATCGGGAGAAGCCTGTTTTCTGCCTTTCCCATGAGACCATCATTTCTAGGGGCGATCTGTTCTCGATCCGGTTTGGTCCCACCCAGGAATCGGAATTGGACTAGAAGAACCAGTTCCCAGTTTCTAGAACTAGGGACCAGTCCGATCTGCAATGGAACCGATTGATTTACAAATAATTCCTAGGGAACGTAGCTATCATTCGCCTCTTCGCTACCAGTTCCCTCACTCACCCGCTTCGTTTACTTCGTTCGCTCGCCCTCTTTGCTCGGTTTACTTTCACTCTTTAGTTCGCTCAGCGAAGATCCGTCGCTCACCCTCTTCCCTCAGACTAGTTGCTCGCATCTCCTCAGAATCCAGTTGCCGGACTCACTCTAAATTGCTCGGGCTGACTCTCGCTGGGTGGGAGCGAGAGTGGGAGAGGCTCTGCTTTGAAGAAAGGCCATCACAGAGAAGGGACAATGTTGCCGTAGAGGATGAAGAAGGCCGTTGCCGAGGACCCAAAGAAGTTGGCTAACCTGATCGACCTTTAAAGAAAGGCCATCACAGAGAAGGGACAATCCTAACAACAAGAATGTGGTGAACTGTGATGAGAAGTTGAAAAGGATATTGTTAGGCAAGCCAAAGGTTGAACTTGCTGAGCTGCCGGCCTTGATCAAACTGCACTTTCTGAAAGAGCCCAAATGAGTTCATGAGGAGAGAGCGGAGAGCGGGACACGTGAGAAGGGAAGGGAAAGAAATTTGGGCAAGAAATTAAAAAAAAAGTGAAAAATCATCAATTTGATCCGGGGTGGTTCAGTCCCCCCGTGAACTAGGGAGCGAACCGAAAATCACCCGTTCCAATTTTATGGAATCGGGAACCGGACCGACGTCCTCGAGAATCGCCCAGAATCGGCCTGTCCAGTCCGGTCCAAGAATTTTCTGGTTCGATCGGTCCATGTTGCTCACTCCTAATCATTTCATATGTATCTCGAAACATGGGCCCACCATCGTCCTGTTTTTGAGCTCTTTTTGTTTGGTTTCTCGTTAGTCTTCATTCGGAATCATTATATGGGCTGATATCCAATATAAAAACGTTTGGAAGGTCCAATGATAATCATTTATCCCTGAAATTACTCTCTACTTTCTTGAGATCGCAGTGCAAACTCCCGAAAAACAGTAGGACTGATGACAGGGGAGCCGGCAACCGAAGCCTTGGTGAACGACGGCCGTAACTATAATGGTCCTAAGGTAGCAAAATTCCTTGTCGGATAAGTTTCGCTTGGGATATCTTTCACAAGCACCGTATCATGATGATCTTGAGGCAGTAAACAGATCGAGTCGAGTGCACAATAGGCTTCACTGGTCGTGCTTCTTGCATGAATATCTATCAAGTTCTTTTTAATCTCCCAATACATGTGATCCGTTTTCAATTTCAATGAAAATAAAATTGAAATATGATCGAAAATCCATCAACTTTTTCTCATTCTTTTTTATTTTGCTTGCTAAATGATTTGTCTCCTTGCCCTTAATCCAATATATGTTGGTATTGACTCTAAATAATTGTTACATACATCGTTCTCGTCAACCCGATAATCTCAAACTCTTTTGAAATTGTGGGGTTGCTGATGTCATTATATCTAGGCTTTGTTAGGGTTATGAAATTAGATCTATAAAGAAAAGTTCTCTATAAAGTGTGTGCATGTATGAAAAATGACTTTGTGGATAATACACTTTAGAAGACTTAGCAAATAATGTTTACATTTTCCAGATACCAAATAAAATAATTTTGTCTAATGCGAACTTTATATGAGTTCATTAGACCGGTCTCGCTCTTACTAAGCATAACATTTCTTCTGCATACTCAATTGTTTAATCACATTGCACATTAGAAATGTCCTCTCGCACGTCGTACCTTTTGTCTTTTGTCCATATTATGTTCATGTACAATCATTTTCTTTATATATTGTCCCCCCATCATTATCATATTCTAGGCAAAAATAAAAAGTTTGCCTGTATCCGATTCTTTAGCATTCCAAAGATATGCTGCATCATTCGGTTTTTTTTTTCTTTTTATGAAAAAAAGATTAGCCCTCCAAAGGGAGAGAGAACATCGAAACCAGACAAAGAACATCATGTCAATAGTGGGACAATCTCGACACGACAAGCTTTAATCGAAATTAGGGCAAAAGTACACTATAAATGCCATAACTTGTGTACGATGATCACTTTGATGCCATAACTTTTTTTCGGATCACTTTGGTGCCAAGTCGGAGGAAAATATATCACTTTAGTGACTCCGGCCAAAATTCCGGCCAAAAAGCTGACCTAGCATTTTTATTTAAAAAAAGAGTGTGACATAGATATTGAGGTCAACATTTGATGTCCGCGTGGACGAGCAAAACGACATCGCTCAGTCCACTTGGACAAGAAGGACGACGTCGTTCCATTTAGGACAGCAAACGACGTCGCTCAGTTCAAAGGTCTTAGCATCGCGTCGCTCGTCACACCTGCTTTGTCTCCCTCGTCCAGTCGCCGTCGCCCATCGCTGGTCGCTCATGGCACCCTCATTTCGTCGCCGTCGCCGTCACCATCACCATCGCCATCTCTTGCCTTCCCCTCGCGGTCGGTCGGCGTCGCTCCCTCATCCCATGGACTGAGCATCACTTGTCCCGTCGGCGTCGGTCCCGTCTGATTATTGCCATCCCTCCCAATGGTAGCCAACAATTCTCCCTTGCACACACCCTTCAAAAAACATCCATCTAACCCTATGACTCGTCTACAACCAACAAAAAATCCCCGCTTGCATGCATCAGAACAAATATAAATTCGGTCAAAG